CCCGGAGGGGTCCCGCTGCCACCGCCCCAGGGCCGGATCCTCAGCGGTCTGTTAAAGCGCGGTGAGCGCCGCCGCGCCGCTTGCTCCATTGCCATCGTTACTCACCGTTAATTGTCCTTAATTAATAAAGCTCCCGTCGTTCATTCAGCACTACCTTTGCCACCGTGTTTCCTTCCTCCTGTAACACGTAATTAGCTGTGTTTTAAATAACCCTTGCCTTTGCCTGGTGTGCCTGTTTCAGCAGCTCCCTGCTGACCTGACCCGAACTTTCCCATCCCGGGGCACTGGTGGTTCTTTCTGACCAGCATCCTGCAAGTGGCTGGGGTGTGCCCCACACGGCGGGCGCGCTTCAAATCCTGCAGGCTCATTCGGTTTTACAAACTTATTTCAGATCTACAGAGTGCGGAGCGTCAGCACTAATGCATTAATGTCTAAGTGGAGATGAGCGATGAGTGGTGTTCCTCTAGGATAGGTGCTGGGACTGGCACAGCAACAGACAGTGCTGTTGCTGGCAACACAGACAGTGGCACGGCAACACTGGCAGAGCAACACAGACAATGGGATTGAGTGCACCAATGGCAAGTTTTCCAATGACACTGAGCTGTGGTGCAGTTGACATGCTGGAGGGAAGGGATGATAAAGAGAAGGACCTTGACAGGCTGGAAAGGTGGGCCCATGTGAACCTCCTGAAGTTCAACAAAGCCAAGTGCAAGGTCCTGCACCTGGGACTGAGAACGGATTGAGAGCAGCCCTGAGAAGTACTTAGGGGTATTGGTTGATGAGAAACGCAACTCACCCTTGCAATGCGTGACTGCAGCCCAGAAAGCCTCCTGTATGCTGGGTTGCATCAAAAGCAGCATGACCAGCAGGTCAAGGGAGGTGATTCTTTCCCTCTCTAGCAACACAGAGCAGTCACAGGCAGACAGTTGCTGGTCCCCGCTGTAGGGTGAATGGGTGGTGGCCACAAGCCTCAAGGCCAGAAGCCCCATTCTCCTCCTCAGGGCAGCAGCCCCCCACCCTGATCCTCATGTCACCAATGGTTGCAACATCCTGCTGGATGCCAGGACTCTCCCCTCTGTCAGCAACTTGCAGGGGCAGGGAAGGGAGCCTTCACTTGCTACTAAAGCCTCAGTGGAACACACTGTGGAGCTGGAGGGAGCTCTGACACCTGGATATGCAGCTCCCAAACCTCCCATGCTGGAGGTACTTTCCCCTGGTTCTGCCCTGCCAGAGCTGACCCTTTCATCACTGCTGCAGCAGGACAAACACATCCCTCCCAGGCATCCAGGTCCTTGCTGTCCACCCCAGCAACCCATGTCTGAAAATGCTCAGTGCCAAGCAGCAGCCAAAGAGGTGATGCCAGACACCAGAAGCTGTTGGGCAGAAGTTCATTTGAATTATTTTTTAACCTTAATCACTACTTTTGACAAACTTACTTTTATTAATTAACATCCTTGGGTTTACGTAACTTCCCTTTTAAAGGTTTAATACTACTGTGGAGAAACTTTTACTGTTAAAAACAATGCAGAAACCATCACATACATTCCTTGAGTGCTGCGCACACTTCTCCTTAGCCTCAAAGCACAACCAGCCAGGCTGAAACAGCACATGGGGATGGGGAGATCCTACATGGACCAGTACAAGCCACTGGGGCTGGGTGCCACATGGCCCACACAGCCCCTGAGTGGTGTGGCAAGGAGAGCAGCAAGTTCCCCTCATCCATGAAACAGCCAAGGAGAAGCTTCCTGGAGGATATGTCCAGCCGCACGGGCACAACTTAGCCAGTCTGTGCATGATGGCAGCACAGAGGTTCACATCACCTCAATACTCACCCTTTTTCTCTCAGGATACCACTGCCCCAGGACCTGCCCACAGGCCCCATGTCCCTGTGCCAGCCCCCAGCAGCACCAGCATTACAGCTGTGAGGAAGCCTGCCCTGGCTACAGGCTGCTATGTCAGACATAGGGAGGAGCTGCCTTGGACCCCAATACCTGCTGCATGAGGCTCCCCTGTTGTTCCTCGGTGCAGGACAGACCACAGGTCACCTCATTTGATGGTAATACTGAAGCCTCTGTATATCTTGCCCTCCTGCCTTTTGCTTGAAGCTTTCAAGAATAACCCTTGATTTTGTTTTAACCCCATGCTAGGGGTGCCCCACAAGCATGCTGGTGTCCAGCTCACCCTTAGGGTTTCTAGCTATGTGCACTGCTCCTGGTACAGCTTGCAAGGAGCAGCACAGGATGCATTCAGCAGCCAGCCCCAGCACCCCCGTAGCAGAGACATGAAAGGGAAGAACAGGGGCCCCAGGAGCACTGCTTGAGGCACACAGAAACAAGGGCTGGGCCCATCTCCCACACCTGGGCAGAGGGGGGAAAGCAGGAAGCAGCAGCAGCCACAGCCACCTCGGTGAGGGCCCCCTGCACACCCCAGAATGATCCCTGCCACCAGGCCAAGTGAATGAGCCCTGGTGGGATATTTCTTGGGTGGGAAGGCCCACAGGCAGCCTGCACCCCCTACCCTAACCTTGCATCAGCCCAGCCAGGCAGAAGAAAAGCCACAGGACAGTGAGCAAGACATTTTGACTGGGGTAGAAACAGGATAGGGATGGTGAGTAAGAAGTACCAGCCCCATGCTATGGTCTCGGGGGGAAGGGCATTTCACGCAAGGGTCTCCTAGTACCCACCCAAGCTCCAGCACATGGGTAGCCCCCAGCCTGGGAAGCAGCGTGGTCCTGACCCACTGGTTGCCCATCTCCAGCATCACACCAAGGGCAGCCCCTTGGATGCTGCAGAAGTTGCCGCTGGGGACAAGCCCTGGCCTGTGGCAGGACTGCCCTCCTCCAGTCTGGGCCAGACCCCATAGGAAGAGCCCTGCCTGCAGTTACTGGGAAGCAGACAGGAGCGCTCACACTGCCAGTGCCTGCATCCAACCACCAGGTTTTATTGAGCAGGGCAAGGCTGGGATGTGGCTGCAATTATGTGAGGAGCCCTGGCAACCCCAATTCCCACTCCTTCCCCTCCAGGAGGGCTTCCCAGGCACCCTCCTGGGCTGCCCCATGCCAAGGCTCAGACGGATGCAGCCCCCTGCCCCGGGTTTCCTTCCTCCCCAGCTGCAGGGCGCTGGTGGGACAGAGCAGTTTTGCAGCTGCAACCGTCCAAGCTGCCTCCACTCATCCCCATGATGCTGTCCCCAGCCAGCTCCAGCAGCACATCCACCAGCTCCGCTCCTCATTGCCCCCAGGATGCCCTCAAACACCAAGATGCTGTTTGAGCTCCTCATCTTCAGCCCCAGGCCTCGTCACAGGTCCTTTTGTCCTGCTGTCAATGGCGCAGATGGGGGAAGCAAGTCCTCAGTTGCAGGCTGCATTCCAGCTAGGGCCAGGCAAAAGTCCAGTCAGCTTTTCCCTGCTGGAGTCCTGCTCCCCACCACTGCTTGGAAGGACACAGCTCCACAAGTTCCTCACACCAGCGGAAGACACTGCTGGCTCAAACCCAGGCAGCAGGAGCAAGGCTGGGGGCAGAGCGGAGGCTACCTGCGTGGTGTGCCACATCTGCAAAGAGAGCACAGCATAGGTGAGCACTGCTGGGATAGAGGGACACCAAGACCTCCAGCTCACCCACTGTGCCCCGGGTTCCCCCTCTCTGTGCCAGGCACCTCCTGCTCCCAACCGAAGTGGTAGGGACCACAAGCAGCCTCTTCACAGGGAGGAACGATGGCAATGGGGCTGTAGGTGCTAGCTGAGCCCTAAGCAGCAGGCTTCAGACAAAACAGGGAAATGCAACACAGAAGTGCTAGCCACAGGCACTATACCCCAAAAGCATATGCAGTTGAGAGTCCAGCCTGCACTGTTACAGCAAGCAGTTTGAGAGAGTCAGCTAAATTTAAGGAGGGAAAGGGTAGAGTAACCCAAACAATAACCAGCCAAGGACAGCAGGAAGGACACAGCTGACAGCAGGATGAAGCTAAAACTAGAAATTCATGGATCCAGGAAATCCAGTGTGCTCTGTGATAATGATAGAGCCACACACCATCAAGTAACCCAGTCCATCCATCCCCACCCTGGATGGGACTGGCCAAGCTTTCAGCAGCTAAGCCTGGAAACTACCGAGCCTTCAGTAAAAGGCCCGCTTCCCTACAGCCACCCACTGTCCCTGCTTTCTCCTGTGCCTGCTCTGCACAAACTCCTCACTGCTTACAGTGTCAGTAAAGACCTAAAAATGGAGCTGTTCATCCCAAAGAAATGAACCCACGAGACACCACCCATACCTGCCCACGCTCACTCACAGTTCACAGCCTTTACGTCTCGTCTTGTCTTGTCTTCTCTTACCTCGGCCCTTAGGCCTTCTCCTTTGAAAGGAAAGGACCACAAGAAAGGCTGACGTGTGGGAAATGAGACACACAACCCCAGCCCGTAACACTGCCCCTGACATCACTTACCTTCCCAACCTCATGAGGTCCTGCCGGGGCCTGCGGGATAGGAAAAGGACAGTGAAGCAGCTACTTGGGCAATGCTGTGTGTTGAGCTGCTGCAGGTGTTTACTGAGATGCCCCAGTGTGCAGCACAATCTACTTGTTACCATTCATGCTTAAAACAGACCAAATATGACTTCACATTTTCATCTCCTCAGCCAGGAGCTGACTGAAGTAGGCAGAGAGAAGACAGAGACAGCAAAGGGGCAGGGGACAGTCAGCTTTGGCAGCTCCCGCAGGGAAGTGACATTTTGCCCATGAGATTGGGAAGCACAGGTTCAGTTTCAGCTGCTCTCGGTGACAGCTTTCATAGCTCATCTGGTTAAACAACATGCAACATCCTGAGCAACATGTGGGATTTGCTGCAAAGCCTCAGCAGTGGTTCTCAGACAACAGCCACAACATACTTGGCTTAAGCATCCAATACAGGTGCCAAGGCCAGGACATCCACCACACCCACACTACACTTCAAAGGGGAGCGATGTAAAGGCATGGAAAGCAGCTTAGGGAGAAGCCAAAAGTGCTGCAGAAGCAAGAAGTTTACAGATTCAAAGACAGCCTGCACAAGTGCTTGTAGGAGATCCCCTGGGAGCTACCCTAGGTAGGAAAACCACAACAGGCTCAGGAAATTCCCTGCATGGAAAATAGCTGGAAGCAGAGCAAGAGAAGGGAAGTAACACGTGCTTCTTCCCACTCCCCTTTCTGCATCTACTAACAGATGCTTCAGAGACGGAGTGGAGCTGGACAGGCCTTGGTTCTGCTCCAGCACAGCCGCTTTTACAGCTGCAGGGGAATACCAGCCTGGGGATCCTCAGGCTCTTCTTCCAGGCAAGGATCTCGTGTCTAATGGCTGCCCAGCAGGAAACTCAATCCCCAGTTTTCGCAATACTGGATCACCCTAGGGTCATGATGAAGAGCAAGTGCCAGGACCTCCCATGCAGGTGGGGCTGAATGGTATCTGTGGTGGGGACTGGCTGTGGACAGCCCTGGAGCTGCTCCTGGCTCCCACAGCACTGCAGACCCCAGGCAGGCACCCACTGTCCTGCCCAAGCTCTCATTGTTTCTGGGACACAGTGAGCGCCCCAAGGGGTTAACTACGTGCCTGGAGTCTGTGGCAGGTTGGTGCTGCACATCCCTCCCAGGTCAGTGCTGCATATCCATACCATGTTGGCACTGCACATTTTAAGCTTTCATTTGTTGGCTTGGATGTAAGCCCCTGTTCCGCCTCCCTGGATGGATGGGGCAGCCTCCCTTAAATGGAGGCCCAAGGCCCAGCCCTTCAGCCTTTTCTTTGGGCCACAGTCATGCTCAGGTATGCCAAGCCATGGAGGTCTCTGCTGAGCCACCACCACACTGTCCCACACCGTCCCACACCTGCCCCAGAGCCACCAGCCTCGCTGTCACCCACTGGCCAGAGGAGTACATGCCAAGCACGTCAAGGCAGCCGTGGGGTTGGAGGGCACAGACACTGCTGCTCACAGAGCCAAGGTGCACCAGCAGCTCCAGCCCTGCAGACAGTGCATGCTGCAGGGAGGCCGCTGCAGAAGCACAGTGCAGCCTGCACCTGAGCAAGGACCATGAGCACTGGCAAACAGAGGCAGCAGGGAGAAGGGGGTTCCAGCAGAGGCAGGGTGCCCCCCAGGGCATCCTCATAGCTCACACAGGGTGAGTTGGCAGGGTCACCCTCGCTGGAGGGGCACAGGGGGGCAAAACGAGCCAGGGGGGTCCCTACCTGCACTCGCACTGCTTGTGCTCAGTGAACGCCATCTCCACGTAGGGAGCCTCCCCGTTTGGCTTTATCTTCAGGAGCTGAAAGAGGAGCAAAGGTTACTTCACAGCCAGCAGCAGGAGGGGGCTGGAAGGGCTCCCACGGCACTGCCTCGCCACCTCAGCCTCTCGGGCAGACGCATGTCTAACCTGTTCCCCCGCACCTCGGGCAGCAGAGACTCCACCTCTGCACACAGGCAGCACCAGCCAGGCCCAGCTGCCCCGCAGCTTGGGAGGCTCTGCTGGTGTTGCCCCGTGTCTTCAGGGCTGTAATTTAAGCCCCATGTTGTTGGGATTTCCCAGCCTTCAAGGAGATTTCTGTGTCTCTGCCTCTGTGGAGAGCTTTCACATATTTGACCACTTTGCACATCTCTCTTCTCCGATGGGAACATTCATGCTTTCCAGACCGTTCCCATTGCTGCTCCCTCCCCCTGCCCCTCCTTCCCTCAGCACCGAGCCTAGAGTCATTACCACAGGGCCTCCCCAGACCAGGGCTGCAGGATTTGCCCTGTTATGTGTCAGTCCACGGCCCAGCCCAGAGTTCAGGCTGAACATCTAGGGGCTTCACAGGGTATGCTCATCATTGCTGTGATCCATGCTAGCCCTTGTGGAAGTACCTGGCCTTGCCATCCCTGACACAGCCATCTCCATGGAGGGAGACCTGTGCACGGGGAGCTGCCTCTTGTTCATGTCAGGCTCTTGCTCTATCTCAGTCGAGATTTTCTGGGGACTCCAACCCTGCCTTCAAACACACGTTCAACCTCTGAGGGACCAAAATCACCAGTGATTTATTCCAGGCTCTCTCTAGTCCACCATCCATGGGCAGAGCAGAGCTTTGCTCTGCTCCCTGAAGCAGCAGTAAGCTGATGTCTGGCAGCACAGCTCAAGGACTGCAGTGTGAGGACAACGGCTGCCTGGCACACTGGGAAAAGGCGACTGGCAGTATGTTGGCAACCCAGGATCTCCCACCCCACTTCACACAGCTCCCACAGCGGGGGCTGTAAACGTGGCTGATGCAGCCCTTCATGCTCACCATGCCCCCAGCACACACTCACTGTCAGCACCACCACAGGCATTTCCTGACACACAGAGCCTCGCTTCTCTCTGCAGTTCAGGGGCAGCATCTGCTTTACCCCACCAGGCAGTCATGGACACCTGGGACACCCCCAGCCCCACCGCAGGATAGGGAAGGTTGGAGAGGTGACAGCAGTCAGCAAGAGGGACCACACTGAGGGCAGAGAAGCAGGAAGCAAGGCCAGTGCCACCAGGGATGTCACCTGGCCTCAGGGACATGCCCAAAGAGCAGACACTGGTACCCTCCTGATTTGCCATGTTGTAAATAAGCCCTCGCCCCTGCTGTCCACGCTGCTATGATGCCTGGAGGATGTGAAGCTGCAAGTTCACTCTCCCAGCCCTTGGCCTGGAGGTTGCCACCTCCCTGGCGCAGCCACGGCTCCACAGCAGTAGTGTTTACCTGCATAGTGACCGTGCTTGTTTCCACAGGGACACAGCGGAGACCCTCACCCCCACAGCAGCCTCCACAGCGCTGCAGGGAGACGCAGGAGGGTCTGAAAATGTACTCCACCTCGTTGGGGAACTCGGTGATGACGTCCACCAGCTGCTCCAGGGGCCGGCAGAAACTACGGTTCCAGATCTCCCGAAAGGTCAGGACTGCAAGAGACCGAGGTGAGGGGCTGTAAGGAGGTGCCCAGAGAGGCTGAGCCCAGCCGGCCGCTGCACCTGCCCCCACCGCGGGGGGGCCGCCCGCGCCCCCTGCCCCAGCCGCGGTGGGGTCCGGCTTCTGTCACGGTGACCCAGGGATGCAGAGGACACCCTTGTGCTCCCAGAAAGCCCATCACCGCACTGGCGGGGACACAGCCACCGCGATGGGCTCTTTCTTCACCTGCCCACCAGCTGTCTCCT